CAACTCAATGTCACTCAGGTCGATGGGCGCTTCGCCTTAGCTGTGACAATGTAATGAGGGTTAACCGGAGAGGCAGTTTCCGTAAACAGGGCAATAAAGATTAGGCTAAAAACAACACCAGAATGTTTCCTTCCTGCCTTCCTTACAGGATTAGCCCAGTGAAGTGGGAAAAAACAAAAAGAGATTTCTTCCAACAACCGGTTCTCTGGACCTCTTAGAAAGTTAAGAACCAGTTCTCCCAAATAGGTGCGAACTGGTAGGAACCCACCTCTGCACTGTGCTTTAAAGACTCAAAAGCAAGCAAAGAATTCGTTTTTCTGAATGTGGAAAAAGAAATTCTATTCCCATAATCCCCAACAGGGAGCCACTAGGCTGGGAAAGATGTCTAGGATCGAAGCAGGAAACGGAGTCCTTCGGGATTGGGCGGCCTATAAATTGATTAAATACAAATACAAATACTAACGTACCTGAGAGCAAAGGCGATGATGGAGCTTGGTTCCTTTTCACAGACAGCTATAGGCACCCGTTCGTGCTCATACATTAAGTAATGCTTGTCGGGTTCACTACAAGAAGGACATTAAAAATTATTTGTTTACAACAAGCAGGTCTACGTCACAGATTTCTCAGATGCCAGGAAACTTTGAATTTAAAATAATTTCTATTCCCCAAAACAGAAAATGAAGCAGAAGAACCTCACTGGCCTCTTTCACTATATTCTTAAAAGTAAATTATTGGGGGGAGGGAGAAATATAGAGCTCCTTCCAGGTGAACACAGCAAAATAAAGCAATTGGGGTAGTCTTTGTGACTTTTATTGTTTTATCCAAGTATAAAATATAAAGGAAAATAAAAATAGGAAATGAGGGGAAGAAAATACGAGATACAAGGAGGGTGGGAGGAAGCATTGATGACTCTTTTTAGCACAGTACAGGATAACAACATTAGAGCCTCAACTCTTTATTTTTACACATTACTATATCTTAGCCATTTCTATAACAACAAATCTACCTAATCAGCAAAACCAAAGTCAAAGTTTCACTTTTTTTCACCACAAGCACAAAATCCAGAAGTGATTTCCAAACAAAAAACATAATTATCGTATTTTTCGGAGTATAAGACGCACCTTTTTTCCTCTAAAGAGAGGCTGAAAATCTGGGTGCATCTTATGCACCGAATACAGCAATTTTTGCCTCCTGAAGCTCTGCCCCCTTCACCAAAATGGCCGTGCATAGCCTTATGCAGGCTTTCTGACAGCTCCTGGGGAGGGCAGAAATGAGCAAAAAATGGACACACACCCCCCAGCAGCACTGTATAAGCCTCTCCCTCCCTACCTACTGTATTTCTCTCTCTCTATTTCTCTGTCTCTCTCTATCCCTATATCTACCTACCTACCTAACTACTCTCTCTCTCTCCCTATCTACTGTATTTCTCTCTCTTTCTCTCCCTCTCTATCCCTCTATCTACCTACCTACTTTTTAAAAAAAAACTTGCCTCTTCAAAACCTGGGTGCGTCTTATACTCTGGTGCATCTTATACTCCGAAAAATACGGTAAATATATTCTCCTCTTCCAATAAAGCAATCAATTTAACAATTTCTCCTTTTACTTCCTTACTGTGCAAATAATATGTATTTCTGTTTGCACTTAATAATCTTTATAAACTATCAACATTTATAATAACAAAATTCATTGTATTCTTTCAGATTCTTTAACCTTAAAGGGAAATTTTCCCATCCCCTTTTCTTTAAAAACATTTCTAAGATGAAAAAGTTCTAATACATCTTTTTGTTAACTTCCTCTTAACATACAAACTTTAAAGTTCACTTTCAGTCAGGCCAATAAAATTCCAACTAATTCCAATTAACACAGGAAATAACTTTTAATTTAGGTATGACATTAGTTATAATATTTGGATAAGGATAAAATTGTTATTCTTTATTTTTATAATTCCTGATGCTAATGTTTCACTGAAAGGAAAATTCCAAACTAGCGTAATAATCCAAAGAAGAAAATCTCCCTCTCTCTCTCACACACACATACAAATGCAAGTACTACAGCCAGTTAACAAATCTCCAGCTCTTCTTCTTAAACTAATATTAAAGTCCCTGGGGAGGTAATAAACAATTAGCAGAAGACAAAGGTTAAAGCTATCTCATTCTAAGTTTACTATTACTCCACAGAAAATATATTACACCTTATACAAGCCAATGGATTAAATATTACTGTCTTTTCACTTGACAATAGGCATTGCAACCAAGGAGAAATTTGAACAACACACACACACACAAAAACACATTGTACAAAAATTATTTTCCTTCCAAGCTGGATTTTACTTACAAGGGGGATGGAATCGGATTATAGCTATTCCCAGGTAACAGATTTGCTAGAATAGCCTTCATGGTGGATTTTTCTTTCACCTGACTATCCATAGAGCCCAGCAAATGCCCATCAAACACATCTGGAATTAAAAAAAGGAAGGTATATTGCTAAATATTGCTAAAGCTCTAAGATTTCTTTAAAAGGCTCATTCTTGGGGTTGCTACAAAGATAATTTGTCGTGTCAAATTGATAACTTCAATAATTTTGAAATATACTGCTGCTTCTGGAAAATGGTCAACAAGGCTACGAACTTTTATCAATAATAACAACATATGAATGTTAAGCTCTGAAATAAGTTTCATTGATCAATCCCTTTATGTTCTGAGAAAAACAAGGCCAGACTTATAAAATATGACATTGCAAAAGGACAGTCTGTGAAATCTCTCTCACTCTATCATCTATCCATCTCTCTCTCTATCATCTATCTATCTATCAATCAATCTATCTATCATCTATCTATCTATCTATCATCTATCTATCTATCATCTATCTATCTATCATCTATCTATCTATCATCTATNTCCCTCTATTTCATCTGGAAAAAAATATGAGCAAGAGAAGTAAACTAGGGCCATTTTTCTGAACCTGATGTCTTGACTTGGTCTGTAATTCTGGAAACTTAGTTTAACACGCCTAAAGGCAGCAATTTGGAGACAAATACTTGACATTCTCAGAAAAGAATTATCCCAGGTTTCCTTACTCTTGAACAGAGTATTTTATCTAGTCTGAGAGATACAGAACTATTACTGAACTATTACATTTTTCATGAGTTCCTAGGTTGGCTAATATTAACACCATGAAGGAAACGGGATCAGTGTTACAACCTGCCATTCATAAACTCTTATCTTCCCACAATCCCAAAACACATTTGTTAAACACGGCAATTAATAAATAAAACAGAGCCCCAGCAAATTATAATCAATTTTGTAGGCTTTCTGCCATTAAATGAAACTAACAAGGAAAAAAAAACCCTAGAATTTAAAATTATTCTCATTTTATGTGATTTAATCTGCCTAATTTTTCAACTCCACCTTTTTGTTTTTTAAAGAATGAAAATGTAAGTCAAATCCTGACATTTCTGATTCAAATGATGCTCTTTTTGCCCACGTAAATTCAGTCATTCTGACCATTTGTAAATCATGGGAAATCGTTTTTAAAGGGACTAGAACTGATGAGCTTTTTAAAAATGACTTCGGTTTCCCTTTCTTTCTCATTTGGGGCTGACACAGCTTCACTAGATATCTTCTGCCAGCTTGCTAAGAGAGCAATTTTTCTTTTCTCTCCTTTTTTCCAGCGAGAAACGATGCAAGCCAGTAATTTCAGACAGGAAAAAATCAGAAAATGATCATCAAAAATGTAAAAGATTGTCACTTGCCTTGAAAAAGATCTGAAGCTTTTTATTTTGGATGTCAATGTGGTCATGTTTATCCCAAACATGTATCCTCCTCCCACCACCACCAGCCCCATTAGGTTTTGCTACTAGTAATATCATTATCATCGTGACCCGTCAAAACCGCGCTCGACTAAGCCGCGCCTGATTAAACCGCGTCGCTGATGTCATCAACAG